AAGTCAACGGTTAGGTTGGATGTTTCTCCTGATTAAATAATCGCCGTCCCCGGCTCTTGGTCTCTTCGGAAGACCCCGGATGTTCTTTGATTTGTGAAAGATAGGATACGTAAGGTTTTCTTTGTCCAGGAGATAATACGTATTAATGAATACCTCTCCAGATTGCAACCCTTGGTATGTGTTTATGTGTGGGAGGTAAACTTTTAGGTGCTCAGGTGGTTAACAATTCTACATCTATAGCTTACATGGGTAAAGATGATGATTATGAAGATGACGACGACAACAACAATTACGATGATGATGATGATAGGACAACCACGACGATGATATAGTGATCATAATGACAACAACAACAACGATGATGATGATGACAACGACAACAACAACAACGATGATTATGATTCTGAGTAAGTGGATTCTGGAACAAGGTTTACGAGAGATAACAAAAAGATAAAACATATTAAGAGCTAAGGATAGAAAGATTTGGAGGGTCATCGCTTATCTCCCGAAGAGACATGGCACATAAAAACCAAGCAAAGAGAGATTGTGACGTTGACATTTTAACAGCTTTAACTGATCTTACTTTATCAATTCTCTCTCTCTTCTCTCTTTCTCGCTCTCTCTCTCTTTCTCTCTCTCTCTCTCTATATATATATATATATATATATATATATATATGCGTGTATATATATATATATATATATATATTTATACGCTATATAAATTATATATATATATATATATATATATATATATAAAAGTGAACATAAAGTCAACAATTAGATGCAATCGTCAGGCCTGACGATTGCATCTAGCATGAAAACAGACTGTCGCCTCTAAGTGTTGACTGGTATGTTCACTTTTATATTTACACACGCTCTATCTCTGATATTGAGCACTGTATCCCATAAATATAGCACATCTTTAGAATATAATTCTTTATATATATACATATATATATATGTGTCTGTGTGTGTGTGTGTGTGTGTGATTGTGTGTGTGTATTATCAAGAATGTATAGCAGACACATTATGAATCCATGGAAAAACTTAATTCAAAATCAGGAAAATGCAAAAGGAAACCTCTTGAGGCTCTTTCCAAAGAATTAATGGCAATTCACAGATAATAGAGTAATATGAATCTGTGGACTGCCATGATTTCCTATTCTGAATTCAAAATCATGAAGAATGCAAAAGGAAACCCCTTCTCTTTCTTACTCAGGAACTCATAGCAATTTGTAGATAATTAAGAGTAATCTAGGAAGATCCATGATCCCATATTCTGCATTTAAAACCACGGAGAAGGCAAATAGGAACCACTCCCATATCTTTCCCAAGATGCCATAGCAATTTACAGATAATAAATAGGAATCTGTGACAAGACATGATCCTCTCGTCTTTATCTAAAATCATTAAGATGGGCAACAGAAACTACTCGACTACCTTTTCTAAGAATTCATGGTAATTCACTGCAGCGTAAAAGTAATAAGTGGAGAGCTATGATCACCTATTCTCATTTCAAAACTATGAAGAATGCAAAAGGAAACCACCCCACCTGTATTTCACAAGAAAGCATTCAATTCCCAGAGAGATGAGTTCTGCGAACAATTACTGCCATCGCCATGAAGGTATTTGGCATTTAAAATAACAAAGCTAAGAAACTAATGGAAAACTGATGCAAGATAAATTGACTCTCCCACTTACCTAATCCTGTAGCTAAATTAAATTATCTCAAATAAAATGGTCAATCCTGAAAGCCGTACCAATTTACGAAGCTCTTCACGTCATCGGTTTGATTGTTAGTGCTAGCTTAAATTTTCAGACAATTTATCATTTAATTTCTTAGCATATGTCATTGCACTTTAGATTGGGCTCTCCAGATTTGAATGTTAACGCGTCTTGGAGTGTTATTACGAATAATAACTCTGAGAAGTCAATTAGAGCCAATTGCATAATATTCACAAGAAATCTTTGCCAAATAAATAAACGGAATTTCTGGAAAAAACATAATCGTCACCGTTTTTAAAAGCGTATAATATTAAAACAAATGACGCAGCAACCATATGTTTATCCATTACCCTGTTTTTAGACAGGTTTTAGTATATTTTCTGGTCGTTATGTCCTCCTTACTTCTGGATATGGATCCATCTAACACAACATTCTCACAACTTTCCAAGCACGTTGTACTTTGATTGGGGGTTATGTGATGTCGTAACGCCGTTATTGCAATCATTTTTTCCTGGCCCCAAACTTAACGATGACAGACCTTTGTAGTAACGTTTCCATATACTGTAGCTGAACCCATTAACATGGTGAATTATAACATCAAATCGACATTTCTTACCTTCAGATTTATGTAGAACGTATACAAATTTATTTTCGTCTTTTTCTTAAATTAATAATTACTAATTTAGATAACAAATTCGCATACTAACACCTTTCTGAAATTTATCCTCCAATTTCTTCCAATGTAATGCAACCAGGCAACATCTTTGAAAAGTTTTCAATTTCCATTGCCAGTATATTGTGAGGAATCTACAAAAAATTATGTTTTCAACCTCTACGTAACTATGCGGAAACACTAGAGCAAAAACATTGTGTTAGCTGGTGACAAATGTCTTTTAATGAAACATTTTAGAAATTTTATTATACTAGCACTTTTTCTAGTACGCTGAGGCGTTTTGAAATCCTCAGAGTATTTACCATTTTTGAAGTTATTGCTAAAGTTTTTTGTCGAGATTTACAAACTATACGTTTTGTTAAATTTTGCAAACCATTCGATAATATTTAAATAACGAGATTTAAAAAAATACTTTGACAAAGACCCTACGTCGCAGTTTAATAATTAATTTAATTTAATTTTTCTTTTTTAACAGCAAAAAATAAATTCTTGGGATTTCTTACTCTTGAACATACAACATATAACTGACCATTTTTGTAAGCGCTTCGTCTTGTGATTTGTTTATAATTCTCACAAAGGCAGGGCGAACTGGGAACTGGATTTTTGTATATATGTAAACTTAAAGAAAATACATACAAACAAATAATGCATTTTTATTAAATAAATATTGATTATTTTAAGTATTAAATTGTGTTTGAAAATAGTGAGAATATTTTGTATGTTAAATAATGAAACGTTCAATTTTTTCAAAAAAATAATGAAGATTTTTTGTATTAAACACCTTCAGTCAGTTATGTGCCATGCGTGATTCACACTTATGCGATCATGTATCTTCCAATACATGACTGACGAGGCAGATTTTTTTCCCGCAGTAGTTTGCCATTTCTTTCTGCGGTAGACCAGTTTCCATCCAAGGCTAGAGAACCCAGTCTAGGGAGAGAAGAAGAGAATTCATAACTTTCTTTAGCGCGTAAATGAATGTAATGGTTTCGAATGGAATTCGAACTCGCATTTCCAATATCTCAATCCGAGCCGCTATCCATTACTCCACTTAAGCACCTTAGTAAAACTAGCTGTACTTTTTATCCCTTTATCTGTTTGCATTTCTACCCAAAATTTGGCTTCGATCGGTCAGTATAAGTGGGTGTGACGAACTAACGGAAGTCACAGAATTTGATATATAGATGGATAAACTGGAAAAATTCAATTACATATGACCTGTTTTCAAATTCCAAAGTTCTGTGCAGATAGTCACTAGTGTTAGTTCTATAATAAAGATTTCAATTCGACTGGTTCTTTCCTTCCATATTGGCTTTTTTCCGATCCCCTTTACAATAAGATGTTTTCTTGGGATATTTCTATGCCAGAGGCATCTAAAGCAAGACTCATCTCTGTTCATCTGAACACTCTATCCTCTGGTTTTTACATAGGATATTCTAAAACAAAGACCGTCATTCTTTGTTCATCGCTCGAACTCTCTTTCCATTGGTTTTCACCAACGCTTTTTTACATAGGATATTCGTATATTCAAATTTTTTTTTCAATTTAACAACGCCTTTGTGATTCGAATTTTTTATTTGTCCATCGCTCGAGGACTCGTCTCTTTCATTCGACTGTTTTCACCAACGCTTCCTCCATAACAGGATCGTTATTTACATTATTCAAGTTATCATCATCTTTCGTATATTTACAATTTTTTTTTCGTGGCTTTAACAACGCCTTTGAAAAGATGTTTGGAATTTTTGTTGTTATATCCTTAATGAATTGCATTATTTACATCATTCGGACTTCATTATCATTATTCTGTACAACGTTTCCTCTCTATTCTTCATTATTTATATTATTCGGAATCGTTTCATTATTCGGATGCAATAAATACGCAAGTCATATCATCTCTGAGATATAGAGACCGAAGCGTTGTAAATATGGCAATCAAGATGAGGATAAGAGTCCGAATAATATAAATAATGCAAGTCATTATAATACCTCATCTCAGAGATATAGACAGATATTTAACGAACTGGTTAGTTAATGTGTGTATATAACTATAATTATATTTACATGGCCTTCCCTTTGTTCCGCAGTCTATATGCCAGTCCCATCATTTCATCTGTTTTTACCAGGGTTTCCATTTCACTATGCCTAAAGCCCGGATATCGGCGATTGATCCTGGGGATTCTGCGTATTGAATACTTAATTAATCAAATAGTTACGGACTGACAACATTTCATTGGTCCTTCAAATATTTGCCAATCGAATCAAACGCTGAATTGACCACCTCCAGATCTGTTAATTTATACTTCTGCCCATTCATTTTTCAATGCCGCCAACCAAGATTCTAATTTTCTCTGCGATTATGAGTTTTTTTTTCATCCATTCAAAGCTACTCTATTAAAGGTAAAAATGTTTATTTTAGAGGTGTGCATTTTTTGACATCCTTGTTTTCTTTTTAACCAATTCGCAGAGGACTAAGAGCAAATAGAGACAATGTTCGCTCATCGTTGACTTGATTCAGGTGTTTTATCTATTTTTTTTCGCTGGAATCTGGCTGATTATTGATGCTGTTGGAAATATGTTTTCCTTGTTTTCCTGCATTCTAGCTAAGTTTGAGTTGGATAGCCTCTCCGTTTTCATTTCGCTCACCTCTCTTTCGCTGATTGATATTCATTTCCCCCATGATGTTCGTGTTTGTCGCTAGGTTCAAATGCCAGCCACGGAAATATTTCCAACAGAGTCTCATCCCGCTAGGGTACTTCTGACGCTTCCAATAACTTCAGCGTCCACACAGTGTTAAGGGCTTTGCAGACGAGGCTTTGACGGAGTTAGTTGAAACTACATCTACGTGAGATGTTTTCTAGTCGATTTTGTAAGCCGTATATTATCTACCCAAATTCGAATTATTACAGGATTAGGGTTTGTTGGTTGGTTGGGTTTTATCGCATATCAACCACTGTAGGTAATTTAATGCCAAATTAAGTTATATATATATATATATATATATATATATATATATATATATATATATATATATATATAGTACTATTAAACGTATAGCTCGCAACATTATTCTTTCAAAAACGCACAGCTGGCAACATTAGTTTTTTAAAAACGTATAGCTGGCAACATTATTTTTCCGAAAACATTATCTGAGGCCTTGCTGTTTGACGTAGTTTATCGTCATATCCAGGACGCGGTTGCAGTTTATCGCCATACCCAGGACGCGAATGTAGTTTATTGTCATACTCAGGACGTGGGTAAGATATGGAAAAAAAACTAGGAGTTCACTATTTGCCCATAGCTAGGATCCTAATAGGTGCTACCACCCCAGGTCAGGGTGGACCTGGTAACACCAGAAATTAAGAAGTGGTTCCACGCTCCTCAAAATTTCCTGATCAGAGGCATTGCGGTTGGATGCAGTTTAACGTCATACCCAGGACGACAGGATTAGGAGTGATTGAGATTAACGTTGATGGTGAAAAATACCTTCAGCAAAAAGTGATCAATATTTCTTGTTTGTTACTTCTCAGAAACAAGAATTTGGATCTTTTCTCATATATGGTAAAACTTATTTTTCTTTTCTTCCTTTCGTTCTCATTCAATCTCTATGATCCGTGAAACACTGAAATGGCCCTTATAACAATCATTCGAAGGGCAAATTTAATTTCTGGTGACCGACTCTTTGAATGATAGATTTGCCAAGTTGCTATGCAAAAGCGGATTCGATCTAGGCCCACCATTTTCTTATTTCGAGCTGGTACATTTACACCGAGTACACACACACACACACACACACACACACACACACACACACACACACACACACACACACACACATATATATATATATATATATATATATACGTTTCATTAAATAATATAGACAAGTGTTGTCTATTTATTTTATGTAAAATTTGTTCGTAACATCTGATAAGTTTGATAACATTATCGTTAAATGAAGAAAGAAATTCACAATATTGATCCATATTTTTTTAATATAATCTAAGCTTTCGCCTTACTTAAGCCATTATCAAAGATGTAAATCACAAACATATTAAACAATATACGGACACGACAGTGATGATAGTCTGTCATTGTTTACATAGATAATCTCTAAGCAACGATAAACACGCGCATATAAGACGCTAGAAGAGAAAATCGCACCGCATCTCATGACGTCACACATGACTACACGAGAGTGAATTGTAGAATGAAGTAAGGAAAGCCGTTGGTATAAACCAATGGCTTCTGTTACCAATTATAGACATTTAAGAATATTTGTAGAGATGCCATAATTGATTTTGTTTAGGTTGGGTTTTTAACTGTTTGATGTAAATATATATATATATATATATATATATATATATATATATATATATAGTTTAGGTAATCGATCCGTTGGTATTTAATCCGGGTGGATCCTACTAATATTAACTATTAAAACTGATCCAGAAAAAGCTCGATGTTTTTATTTTAACAGAGCATATATATTTCTTACAGCAACAAACCAAAAATTATCTCAACATAGGTATAGTCTATTCAAACCGTTCTTCATAAGTACAGAACAAATCCTCCGAGAAAAGCACTTAGATGCTGATGATAGCCGTGTGAATGAAGAACGGTTTGAAAAAGACTTATGTTATAATTTTGTTTTTATGTAATATATATATATATATATATATATATATATATATATATATATATATATATATTGCTTAGGTATGCTTATGTTTAATTTTTTTTTTTTAACTGTAATATATATATATATATATATATATATATATATATATAGTTGCATATTTAGGCAACAATCCTTCCTTTATGAATGTTTCATTAAAAACGACAGACAAGGTACTACGGTTAAGAATTTATTTAATTTTTCTTGAGTTCTAAAAAGAGCTTTCTTTTCTGGACAAATGTAGTGTAAGAACTGTCCAAGTGTTTTATATTTCCAAGCGCTTTCGGCTATAACTTTAGACATTATAAAAAAAAAAAGAATCAAAATAGAATATATATATATATATATATATATATATATATATATATACGCGACACAAATCCAAAAAAATAGGTTATTTGAAAGAAACGCATATTGGAAAAGAGAAATAGAGAAATAATTTGGATAATATTATTTAAATATTACACATATATATTTCATTACTATATTATTAATATATAACACATAATACATATTTCATTAATATATTATTAATATATAACACATAATACATATTATTATCATACCACCAAATAAATCATTACAAGCAACAAACGGAAAAAAACAAATGTGACATAAAATGATAAGAAAATAATAAAGAATATATGTATGTATGTATGTATGTATTTATATATGTGTGTGTGTATATGTATGTTTGTGTGTGTGCATCCGCAAAAGTAAAAACAACTATGTTGGTGGATCACATAGACAATTTTCCAGAAGACCTAACGTTTTTGACAAAAATCCTGAACAAGGAAAGATAAAAAGGATGAAAGTCGTAAAGAGAAGAATGTACCTAAGTAGTAAAAAGAAATACTCAGCGTCTAGATTATCTATAATATATATATATATATATATATATATATATATATATATATATATATATATATATATACGAGATTTCCGTCAGTTGATTTCCTAATGCTTTAATTTTAAAAAAATAAAAGTATATGAACGCCATCTTTAAAAATATAAAAAATGAATAAGTTCAAGACATTAGGTGTGCTTAAAATTGAGAAGAGGGGAAAATCAAGGATATTTGTTCATCGGTTCATTATATATATATATATATATATATATATATATATATATATATATATATATATATATATATATATATATGGTTGTTTTAAACTAAAGTAGCGGAGTCAGCTGATTTACTAATTTTCTACACTTAAAAAGCTCTACATGTTAATTATTTTTTATCTTTTTTTATATGTATTGGATAATTTTTAATGCTACTGTTCTCTGTTCTAATTCATTTCTGAGCATTAACTTCATTTCATACATATATATATATATATATATATATATATATATATATATATATATATATATATATATATATATATATATATGTGTGTGTGTGTGTGTGTGTGTGTATTATAAGTAAAAGAAAGAACAGTAAAATATATAATCCGGTGTTCTTATTGATATTTTATTTTTACAAAACAGGGTACATTTACAGAGCATAAATATTGTAAAGTAACAGATTTAAAATACGGTTTTTTCGCTACACAGGAATTACGATCTTTCAAAAACCGAAGCTAAAAGCTTGTAATTAGCTTGAAGATGAAACACAACTAATGCTTTTAATTTAATTATATAATTAAATTTCAAGTTTTTAGCTTCGTTTTTTTGAATCATGGTAATTACTGTGGAGCGAAGAATATATATATATATATATATATATATATATATATATATATATATATATATCAACGACGACACCAATGTTCTAATGCCAATATTATTATATTCGTATTTATTTACAACCTTTTACAAAATAGTTACTTTCATTTAAACCAGTGTGTAATTCATACATTAGCAAAATCCATACTTACTATACACAGAAATATATATAATTTACACATCAGTAAAACCCATATTTTCTATGTTATGCTCAGAAATATAGGCCATTTCTAACACTATATAAAAAATGTAAACTTTATACATAAGGAAAACCCATACTGTGTGATATGCTAATATATATAAGACATTTCTGACAGGATATTAAATACATATAAATTTTACAGTAGCAAAGAACCTACTTTCTATGATATACTCAGCAATATAAGACTTATTTGACAGGACATTCAAGAAATGTATAATTTACACATCAGCAAAACATATTCTTTTATGATTCGATCAGAAATATAGGACTTTTCTAGCACGTAATTAAGAAATGTATAATTTAAACATCAGTAAAACCAATACTTTCCATGATATGTTCACAAATATAGGACTTATCTCTGACAGGACATTAAACAAGTGTATAATTTACACATCAGCAAAACCTATAATTTCTATGATATGCTCTGAAATATAGGTCTTTTCTGACAGGGCATTAAACAAATAAGTAATTTAAAAATCAGCAAAAGCAATATATTTTATCATATGATCAGTTTTTTGACACGAAATTAGGCAAATGCATAATTTACACAATTGCAAAGCCCATACATTCTCTGATATACTCAGAAATATAAAAATTTTCTGACAGGGCATTAAAGAAATGTATAATCGTGGTTACGGCTAGTGAAAAACAATGAGAAAATATTAATGATGACAGAAAATACCGGTTGATATCGCATTTAAATTTCTGAAGAATATAAGTAACAGGGACGCAAGAATTCGGGAGTTTATTCCATTAGACATTATTTCATAGAAAATATTCCTTTTTAATCCTTCAACATTCGAACTTAAGAATTAGAATGATAGAAATTATTAATAATTAAATATAATATTTAGGCAACATTAATGAAATAAACAACCCTTAACACGAACTTTTAAATGCAGGCTTCCTTGAGTCCTTCTAGCGACGTTGTATATTATACATAGTCACTAATTAATATTAATATATATATATATATATATATATATATATATATATTTATATATATCCTTTTATTATATCTGTCTGTCCTAGACATTGAGTTCTACCTGGATTCTTCCTCTTGAATTTTTTTTTTTCTGAAAATATACAT